TTTATGTTAGTATTTACTTAATATTTTTATTTGAATCAAGTTTTTTTGTTTTGTTTTGGTTTTTTTGGCCATGCCTTGCCACTTGTGGGATCTTAGTTCCCCAACCCAGGATTGAACCCGGGCCCTCAGTAGTGAGAGCACAGAGTCCTAACCTCTGGACCACCAGGGAATTCCCTATTTTTAAAATTAAAAATTTTCTAATATGTAATGTATTTTAAAACTTTCGGGCTTCCGTGGTGGTGCAGTGGTTAAGAAACCACCTGCCAATGCAGGGGACATGGGTTCGAGCCCTGGTCCGGGAAGATCCCACATGCCGCGGAGCAACTAAGCCCGTGTGCTACAACTACTGAGCCTGTGCTCTAGAGCACACGAGCCACAACTACTGAACCTGTGCGCCTAGAGCCCGTGCTCCACAACAAGAGAAGCTACCGCAATAAGGAGCCTGCCCACTGCAACGAAGAGTAGCCCCTGCTTCCCACAACTAGAGAAAGCCCACATGCAGCAACAAAGACCCAACACAGCCAAAAATAAATAAATTTATTTTTAAAAAAACTTCCATTTACTCTTAAGAAAAAAGGTTGCCATTATCATAAATGGGAAACCAGTGTTATTTGCTATAACTAGAAGACAAACATAAAAATTAAAACTTTGGAAATATTTCTAAATTCTCCTTAGTTCCTCCTCTTGCTGAAGGCATGGCTCCCAAGGTTTACTCTCTTTTTAAAGAGAGAAACAAGTATTAGAGACTCCAAATGAGAATTACTTCTGATGTAATTAAAGACAATTGAAAGGGAGTCACTTTCTCTCTACATATTTTTTGTCATTTTATGTGGCAGCCAAAAACTGTTTTGTATACCACCAGCAATTCAAACTCCACAATTTGGGAAACACTACCCTGACCTGTAATAGCATGTATTGAAAATGCATTTTGACCCTGTACTCTCATCCTTGGGTAACACTGTATTTTATAAACATTAATTGGTTCTTATCTAACCCGTGTCTTAAAGGCATAGATTGTATTTCTTCATCCCACAGAGGAATGAACTGAGTTCCAGAGAGGGTTGGAGAATTACCCCAGCACAGTGATAAGTTTGAGCCAGGGGCAAACAAGCCAGGTTTAAATTCCTGATAAAGATTTGGCCACCTTCCTTCCCTTGATGTGACCTGGGAATCTAGGAGTTGTGCAATCCTTGTGGCTTGCTCCACCTGTCAAGCAAAGGGCTGAGGAGGCTGGGGCAAAGACTGACTTTTAACTCAGTTTGGCCCTTGCCAGGTTAGCTCATTTAATCCTGCAGCAAATGTATCCCATTTCACAAAAGGAGAAACAGTTTCAAAGAGGCTAAGTAGCTTTCCTCAATTCTCACACTCCTAAGAGGCAGAGCCAGACTGTGAACTCCCCTTCCTACTTCTTAAGCTCATGTGCTTCACTGACACCATGAAATTATACATTTGGAGACCTGGGTTCTAGTTTGATTTTGCCACCGTTCAAAAAATCAAAGGATCCTGAGCCATTACTATCTCTGCCTGCTTTGCCCAGTCATGGGTTTCCTTAGTTTTCTCATCGCCTCACAAAGGGACACAAGTGGATTCGCGTTGTAGGCCCCTCGTTCCGTCTCTCTTCCCTGCATAAGTACCATTCGGCCCTTATTTTATTTTGCATCGTACTGTGACATGATTAGAGCAATGGCAAAGTTTGAGAAATTGGTTTAAAAAATTGAAGTTCCCAAATTAATGCTGCTAAGAATCAACATAAGCTAGACATGCTGAGAGAATTTATAAATCGACTTGGCTAGCTCCTAAATCTTACCAGGAAGGCCTTTGGTGAGGGGGTGGGGAGGTGAGCGGAGGCTGAGGGGGACCTGCTTGGAGGGAGACCATTAACGGGGAGATTGAAAGGGCCTAAAGTGAGGGGAGGGGGAGGAATCTTAATAAGCAGGAATTCAGAGGGACTTGGGATGAGGAGCAAAGCGAGGTGGGGATAGAGAGAGGGATGGTGGGGAGTGGGGAGACAGGAGACGATGTGGGAGGAGAGACAGAGACAGTTTTCTCCTTTCTTCAGCTCCTTAGCCTGACTGCTCTGCCTGCAGCAGCCCCTGTATATATCTTAGGGTCTTTTCCCATTCCTTGAGCTGGCAGTGCCCTCAGCCAAGTAGAAGATATAGACCTATTGCTCCTTTTTGCTCCCTTTGGGTAGCAGGTCCTCCAGCAGCCTGATGCCTTGGAGAATATCATCTTCTTTTCACATTTCAGCAGGTCATTCATAAACACTTCCTCCTTCAACTTCCATGGACGTCCCACCCTACAGTTCTCACACTGCCTCAGCCATGGTGCTGCCATCTCCATGGTCCATTGTATCATATATTTTAATGCATAAGTTTTGTAAAGTATCTGGGGAACACCTTCAAATGGGGAAATAAGTGTTCTGTCTTCCAATTTTATTTATCGAAATATAGCCAAAGGTTAATGGACCCATATCACATGAGGAGCTAGCAAGTGACATATCCTTCTTCTAAATTTGATAACATCACTAATTTTGGATAATTCATTTACCATTTCACCCCCAACACAGCCTATTACACACACACACACACACACACAAATTCTAATCATTTTCTTTGTCAATAAATGTAAGGATTGTGGGTAGTAAATGATGTTTCAGAAGTTGGGACCCCATCTGATATCAATGCTTTAAAATATTTTTAAATTAGTCATTATCACCGGAGAGATTCCAATTTTATTGATAGGCAATTTGAAAGCACAAAGAAATTATTTTCAGAGTTGCAGAGCAGGGAATAGTGAAAGTCCTTGAGTCAATGAATAAGCCAACAGACAAAATCTCTCATTGTTTGCCAAGCTCTTGATTTCTTCTCTTGGAAAAAGTGATTTCAAACCAAAAGTGATTTCAAACAAACATCTCTCAAAGGGAATTAAAACTTGAGGTAGGTGAGAAGGAATTAAGAGTGTAGGTAGTCTCATAAAAGAGCTTGTCTTCAGGCCCAGACAATTCCCATCTCAGGAAAGAATCTGCAAATGTGACCATGACGCCAGGGGTAGAAACTCTTTGATGAGAAGTCAGGAAGAACAGATGTTAACCGAATTTGTAACTAGTGGAGGATTTTTACCAGAGGGGTTGATAACAGAATGAAACTGACCTAGAGAAAGGTCTCTAGGAGGGATCCCTTGAACAGTCATCAATCAGAAGGAACCACAGTCTGGAAAGCACATCATTTGGATCTAGAGTGGTGCCAGAGTTCAGTGGAAAAAGTCCAGAACTTGAAGTCTGGAATTTGGGTCTCTCTTGCTGACAATTCACATGACTTAGGGTATGCAGCCTGCTGCTCCACTCTTAGAAATGCCTGCTGAGTAAAAGAGAAAGTATGTGTGAAATGCTTTATGTCTCTAGAAGGAAAAACTATGTATAAAGGCAGGATAGTAATGTAATACTTTTCATTCAGCTCTCAGGCTTCATTGGACTCATTAGAAATTTATGTAGCTGGAATTACCAAATGATTTAAGGAATAAGCTCTGAACGATGGAGGAGCAGGCAGTTCTAAAATGGATACAAGTGAATGAGTTAGATAAAACCTAACTATTTTATTGCTTTGAAATAGGACTAGTGAAGCTGCTGAATATACAATTTGTTTTTCTTCTGCCAGAGTAGAACCATTTTGCATGAACTTTTCTTTATGTCTTTCTTGTTGTTTTCCTCCCAACCTTATCTTTTTTCTCTTTAAAAAAACCTCTCATGCATTTACTCCTTTGGGGGAGGGCATTGTTAAGGGGTTAACTACCTAACTTTTTTCACCAATGCCTTGACTTAAATTAGTCCTGATATTCCCAAATTATGTTTCTATATGTGAACTTGGGTGGAAAATAATAAATGCTAAGGGAAAGGTCAAATTGAGGATGTGGAAGAATTGGCAAGAAGTTGAAATCCAAGGGCTTGAGTCATGAAAAGGAAATAAATGAGGCTAAAACATAATTAAGCCGTGAGAGGAATTAAAGTTTTTTCTTAAGTGAAAATTATTGTTTATGGCCGTCACTATACCAGTCCCAGAACTCAAGGCTCCTCAAGTCCATGAAACATGGCTCTGAAAGGAGCTGCTTCAATGTATTATCTTGTTTCAATAACTTCTTAAATTTTCATTCATTTAGCTCACAAGATACAGATAAGAGAAGGCAGAGAGCTGTGGAGGAGAGACACTTGTTGCCAAGATTTTCTTTTTGTAGCAAATGAGTCTTAAAGAAGGAAGAGCTCATCCTCTTATCCCTTGAAACCTTACTATTTCATATTCCTCCCCAAACTTGACCTTCCTTTCAACTTGTATTGGAACCTCTCCAGAACTAAATTCTACTGTCCAATTCAAACGATAACCTTTCCTATTTCCTTTCTCCTTCGTCTTCTTTTTTTTTTTTTTTAATTAATTAATTTATTTGGCTGTGCCGGGTCTTAGTTGTGGCACGCAGGATCTTTGTTGCCATGTGTGGGATCTTTAGTTGCGGCATGTGAACTCTTAGTTGTGGCACGCAGGATCTATTTCCCTAACCAGGGATTGAACCCAGTCTTCCTGCGTTGGGAGCACAGAGGCTTAACCACTGGACCACCAGGGAAGTCCACTATTTCCTTTCTGTTTGCCTGCCCTATTACAAATAGGTGGCACAGAACTTGGCTTTTTATTAAAAATTTCTTGTAACAATGCTTATTTTTATCAAAATATTCCATTCAACTAGTTTAGGGAGTCAAATGATGCTTAAAAAGTCTTCTACCAAAAGCAGCATCTCCGGATGCCCTTATCATCACTTCCTGCCACCCAGAGGCAACTGGTCAACTGGTTAAATTGTTCTCTTCTGATGTCTACCTCCATATTTCTAAGAACAATGTGTATATTATCTCTTTTTATTTTGTCCCAGAGCAATTTTTATAAGTTACGCAATTGTGAAAAGCTGAAAGATGTGAACAAGCTGTTTATTTGATCAAGTTTATTGTTCTTCAAATTCAGGCATTGAGTTTAATTCGTCTTCAAAGTACAAAACGTACATAACCAACCTGCAGTACGCTATTCTGAATGATAAAGTGTTTGGAAGTGCAAACCCAAAGAAGATAATGCATTTACCCAACTATCATAAAATCAATGAAATACAATCAGCCAGGATCCAGTTGAAGCCTCAGAACCCACAGGAGCAGAAGGAGCAGAATGCACTAGGAGGTGCGTGTGTGTGTGTGTGTGTGCTGTGTGTGTGGTGTGTGTGTGTGTGGTGTGTGTGTGTGGTGTGTGTGTGTGTGCGGTGTGTGTGGTGTGGTGTGTGTGGTGTGTGTGTCTGGTGTGTGTGTGGTGTGTGTGTGGTGTGTGTGTGTGTGTGTGGTGTGTGTGTGTGGTGTGGCGTGTGTGTGTTTGTGTGGTGTGTGTGGTGTGTATGTGGTGTGTGTGTGGTGTGGTGTGTGTGGTGTGTGTATGTGTGGTGTGTGTGTGTGTGTTTGTGTGGTGTGTGTGGTGTGTGTGTGGTGTGGTGTGTGTGTGGTGTGTGGTGTGTGTATGTGTGTGTGGTGTGTGTGGTGTGTGGTTGTGTGCGTGTGTGGTGTGTGGTGTGTGTGGGTGGTGTGTGGGTGGTGTGTGTGTGGTGTGTGTGTGTGGTATGTGATGTGTGTGTGTGGTGTGCTGTGTGTTGTGGTGTGTGTGTGGTGTGTGTGGTGTGTGTGTGTGGTGTGTGTGTGGTATGTGGTGTGTGTGTGTGGTGTGTGTGTGGTGTGTGGTTGTGTGCGTGTGTGGTGTGTGTGTGTGGTGTGTGTGTGGTGTGTGTATGTGGTGTGGTGGTGTGTGTATGTGTTTGTGTGGTGTGTGTGGTGTGTGGGTGGTGTGTGTGTGTGTGGTGTGTGTGTGGTGTGTGTGTGTGGTGTGTGATGTGTGTGTGTGGTGTGCTGTGTGTGTGTGTGGTGTGTGTGTGGTGTGTGTGTGTGTGTGTGTGTGTGTGTATCATGTAAATCATATCTAATCTTATGCAATTGTGGGGCATCTTTAAGCAGTCTCTGTAAAGCTGTTGTGATCACACCTAATCCTGGAGCTTGAAGACTTCAGCAAAGACAGCCTGGAAGGGAAGATAGATATAAAGTAGGGAAAAGCAAGTACAACCTGGAACCTACAAGCTTGAGCTAAAACCCCAGGAGGACAGACTGAAACCATGTCACTTCTCACTGCCTCTAACCTTGATGGTATAGATAGCCTGTGGGAGAAGCTGTCCCCTTCATTATATATCTAACCCAGGAGCTGAAAAAGCTGGAGAATGATTCAGGGGAAGGTGGAGCAGTTGTAGGTCCAGCCACTGTCCCATGCCATCAAGATAAGCCAGCAGATAAGCAATAATGTTAGCTACAAAGTGGTTGCTTCTTGGGACTTCCCTTGTGGTACAGTGGTTAGGAATCCACCTGCCAATGCAGGGGACACAGATTCGAGCCCTGGTCTGGGAAGATCCCACATGCTGTGGAGCAACTAAGCCCATGTGCCACAACTACTGAAGCCCGTGCTCCACAATAAGAGAAGCCACTACAATGAGAAGTCTGCGCACCGCAACGAAGAGTTGCCCCCGCTCCCCACAACTAGAGAAAGCCCGCATGCAGCAACGAAGACCCAACACAGCCAAAAATAAATAAATACATAAATAAAATTTATAAAGAAAAAAAGTGGTTGCTTCTTTGCTTCGAAACCCCAGATCTGTGTAAAAATGTCTCTTGTAGTTCACCCTAGCCAGAAACATACAGGGAGGGAATTTTGAGTAATTATTATTATCATAATAAATAAATAGTTCAGGATTCAAGTATGCATCCTGCCCCCTTACCAAGAGAACAATGGAAAAGTCATCTAACAATCCTGGGACCATGTGTACTTTGGGAAAAATGACTTGCAAGAGGAAAAAAGGAATAGTGGTATTTCATTCCTGGAAATTACCTAGAAGTCCATCATCAGGGATATTTGCCCTGCTCCTTTTCTACTGCCCAAATTAAGATAACTGCTGGATAAACCGAGGTTTCTAAAATTGTATTCCCTAAATTTTTAATAAAAGATAGCAGAGCTAGGCTTTTACTTCAGAGCCTTTTCATTTTCAATCACCACCTTATTTAAAAGAAAACAAACAAAAGGCCTCCAAATGAATCATCTCTGTAGTAATCTGATTTATTTTCTTACCTCTTGGCATTTAGGTGAATTGTGGTTTTACTTTTTTTTAAAGTAGGTAGGCTTAAGTTTCTCTGTTATCACAGTGGAATTTAAGAATTGCTGTTTACACTGTTTAACAAGCAAGAACAATGCATACTGTTCAGTAGAGGGTAGGTGACACTGGACACGTATTAAATTTTTGAGTATTAAGAAAAGTGCTACGGTGGAGCCAAGAAGTTAGTGTTTTTAGATGAACAAACTGTTTCCATTTAGTATAACTCTCTCTCTCTCTCTTTTTTTTTTTTTCCCAGGGAAAGTCTTATAAAAGGAAGGACTATACCTAAATTTTAAATTTTAATTATAAATTAAGTTTAGGTCTCCCTTTTTTCTCCTAAGCTATTCATAGTGAAGTTCATCATTCTTTCCACTGTACGACATGGAATATAAGCAACAGAACAGAAAAAGCCCCCCCAAACAAAAACCATTGTATCTGTTTCTCCCAGCTTTCTCCATGTCAACAAAAGTTAGGAAACAAAAGATAGTCATAAAAATCTCCACTATGGGAAAACTCGTCCAAAATAAATTATGTCTTTTTTAATAAATTTATTTATGTTTTATTTATTTATTATTTTTGGCTGCATTGGGTCTTCGTTGCTGTGCGCAGGCTTTCTCTAGTTGCGGCGAGCAGGGGCTGCTCTTCTTTGCGGTACGTGGGCTTCTCATTGCAGTGGCTTCTCTTGTTGCGGAGCACGGGCTCTAGGTGGCGGGCTTTCAGTAGTTGTGGCTCGCAGGCTTCAGTAGTTGTGACTCGCGGGCTCTGGAGTGCAGGCTCAGTAGTTGTGGCGCAAGGGCTTAGTTGTTGCGCAGCATATGGGATCTTCCCGGACCAGGGCTCGAACCTGTGTCCCCTGCATTGGCAGGCGGATTCTTAACCACTGAGCCACCAGGGAAGCCCCATAAATTATGTCTTTATAAAAATGAACTTAGTAGACTAAGTTGATCATATCAAACACAAAAAGCAAGCAAAATTGTAAACCATATAAAGGAAATCAATCTAACATAAAATGGCATTCAACCAGTCCAATACTTTGTATAAAAATTGGATAACTTGAAGAATTACAGTGATTGTGTCACAAAGGTAGAGGTAAGATGTTTAAATTACAGGAAGTTTTAAAAATAATTTTTAAGTGTTTCTGCTTCGGACAAATAGGAGTTATCAAACCCCTTTCACAGACTTCTTTTCTCTGGATCCTAAGGTATGCCCCATTTTTCTTGCCTTCCTGGTTCTTGTGGGGTCCTGGCAGAGCTCAGCCTCATGGCTCAGTTTCTCAGTGAGCTCGTCTTACTGTGTTACGGGTATTGCCTCAGTCGTTCTGTGCCTCGGTCATTCTGCAGACCTCACATCTCTGAGAGTGTTTCTACTTTTTACAATGAATACCATAGGGCATTCGTCTTTGGTTGGGGGGGGCGGCGGTGGGGTCGTGGTGGTGGAGATTTCCTCCACCATTTCTTTACCATATGGGTTTTCTATATTCAGCAAGATTGTCATAAGAACCAATGTCTTCATTTATCCATGTACTGTACACGTTATGGAGTATGAGGCCCATTACCTGCAAAGATTTCTATAGACGCGTAGATTTAATGAGCTCACCTTCCAAAGGCACTGTATGTGCCCCTATTTGTTAAAAGTGGTTGAAAATTAGAAGTGTTTCTGTGATTGTTTTTTTATTTCGCAATGCCTCAAAGAGTGCATGTGAGTTTTTAAAAGCCAATTTTTAAAAATAAATTTATTTTATGTATTTATTTTTGGCTGTGTTGGGTCTTCGCTGCTGCATGTGGGCTTTTCTCTAGTTGCGGCGAGCGGGAGCTACTCTTCGTTGCAGTGCGCGGGCTTCTCACTGCAGTGGCTTCTCTTGTTGCAGATCATGGGCTCTAGGTGCGTGGGCTTCAGTAGTTGTGGCACACGGGCTCAGTAGTGTGGCGCACGGGCTTAGTTGCTCTGCGGCATGTGGGACCTTCCTGGGCCCGGGCTTGAACCCGTTTCCCCTGCGTTGGCAGGCGGATTCGCAACCACTGCGCCACCAGGGAAGCCCTAAAAGCCAAATTTAATAAGCAAATTGGTGGTATTATTAAATAGCAAAGGATGCTATAATTTCACTGTGAACTATAAAACATCCACCAATAAAATTTCTGAATATCCCAGAAATATTTACATATAATCTTACAAATATCCTACAGAAGCTTAGCACGTCTCTCCATGACATCCAGGCTCTCAAAGATCAGAGCAGTTGCAGGTGGGGTCTCAGCAGCAAGATGTCAAGATCACCTAGGGGATTAACACCCATAGCTGGACTCCTAGGCTAGCTGGCCTGCCCTGCTTTGTTCAGGCAATAAAAGCCAAAATGATAGTCTCATTTAGTTGGGCTTCAGGGGAGGGAGGGAGAGTAGGGAAGCACTCAGGGAAAACCTACAAATTCTACCATAGCCAGAATTTCCATTTATCCCTACTTGGAAAAAAAAAAAAAAAGACAAAAGAGTAAAAAACACTTTCTCCATATGTTTCTCCATGGGTTCATTGTGCTCACTAAAACCAACTCTGTTTGCAATTCTGATCCAGGATGCAGTGAATCAGCAAATTGTTTTCTTTTTAATTTGTGGTATTACTCAGTTGCTTTGACATAAGCAGTGACATAACACTGACCATATTTCGCTGTGATACAAGCCAACATCTTTCTCTGCTCTGAAGCTTTAGACTTCCTGAGCTGACTTTTCTAATGCAAGATGTACTTCTCAAGGGGAACATGCTATGTAATCATGTTTAAATATTTGCACTGGCATCTTTAAAATCTGGTGCTGTCTTTGGGGCCTTTGTGGATGAAGCCTTGGAAAACCAAGACAACACCACTGTGGTTCTCACTCACTAGTATTCCCTTGTTATGATGAACAAAAGTTTCAATGTATAGAGCAAGGCATAGATACAAAGGTGAGCAAATTTGGGTGTCAATATTAAGTAAATTATTTAGGTAGTTGTGAAACGAGACCCTCTTTTTCTCCTCCATATTGCATTATTTTCAACGCATCTGAATTCCCAAGCTAAGAAACTATTGGCTAGAGATTGCCTCTGTTGCCACAGTCTTCCCAGTAAATACTGGTGAGAGCTAGGAACAAAACTTAATAAAAGCTTTCTTGTATGTTGTCTGCTGCCCTGGCATAGCATTAAATGGGTACGGATGGTCTTTCAACAATAGCCCACCCTGAAGCAAAAAGTAACCCTGAGCTAACCCCTTCTACTACTAGCTAACCCCATCCACTGCCTCAAAAAGCCACTAAAGAATATAACAAAAGAAACAAAAGGATGAAGATACTCACAGGAGTCACAACACCCTCTCCCCTGCAAGTTTAACAGTCCAACCTCCTCAACCAACCGCCAAGTTGGCTGTTATTTTGCAAAGTAGTCTGTGTTAGACCAACAGGTAATCCCTCTGTAGTTATTTCTGATTTAGGAAATAAGCATTTGTGTTTATTTTGTGGCCATAGTGAATCCTCAAGCTGTAGCCTCAAAGGTTAAAGCCAGATACAGCTGAAAGAAATGCTTTTAAAAGCTGTCCTTCAGGAGGCGGCCCTAGATCAGCTACATTTTGTAGGACAGCTTCCCCATGACCTCAATGAGAGTATCAGAAATCTTCTTAGTGCAATGCGATCTCTTCTGTGTGCAGTTGGCCCTTTGCTTTGTGGTTTGAGCTTCAGCAGAATTCCATGTGGCTGGTGGTAAAGCAGAGAAGAATCCCAGGAGGGCCAAGAAGAGGTGGATTCCTGTTGCCAAAAGCTGCCTAGCAGTTTCCAGTCCATTATGTTCATCAACATCTGAAAATCCCTGACAGCCAGCCATGGATATGTGGGAATGGCTGCTGCCCAGTCAACCAGGAATCCCTCAGCACAGAAGCTCTTGAAGGGGCAAAAAGCATATCAAAACACTTAAGTGGAAACACTTAAGTGGAAACTTAGGAGACTTAGGACTCTCGTTAAGGCCACAATGGCCAATGGTGGTATAATTTGACACAAACCTCTAACTAGGCAGAAGAACAACAGGAAAACTCTCTGAAAGAGACCTGGATTCCCTGTTACCTCATGCTCAAGATGGCAACTTGGCTCACATGTCTGGTACCTGGGCTGGCATGGCTGGAGCAGCTAGGCTCCGGGCAACGTGGCTGTCTCT